GGGTCTGAGGGTTCTCCTGGAGCTGGTGCTGCTGAGGGTGTTGGCGCTGAGAGTACCGCTGGCGGTCCGACTGGCCGTGCTCCTGGTGGTGCTGCTGGAGGTTCTGGAGCTACTGGAGGTGCTGCTGGAGGTGCTGCTGGAGCGGGTACTCCTACTGGGGGTACTGGTGCTGTCCCTGCTGTTTCTGGCGTAGCCACGCGGCCCCGACCGTACTTCGTTCTGCTCCTGCAGCAGGTTCTTGGTCTTACACCTTCTCCTGGTCCTCCTCCTCCTCCCTTAGAGGGTCCACAGCCTGTCTCGTCACAGTCCCAGCTACAGCCTGCCTCCCCTTTGCCTGCTCCTTCTCCCTACGCTGGTCCGACTGGAGGTCTTACTGAGCGTCGTGAGCCTGCGTCTCGTCCTGCGTCGCCTGTTCGTACTGCGCGCACTAGTGGTCGCGGTTCTCGTCAGCGTCCTCCTCCTGTCCCTGGCACGCACCGGATGTCTCTGCGTCCGTCCACTGCTCCTCTGCGTGCCCCTTTGCCTTCTCCTCCTGCTTCCTCTCTTCTTGCTCTTGCCGACCCGGAGTCGGACTCTCTTCGTGCTGCCAGTCCTACTGTCACGCGTCTCCTTGCTACTGCTGTCACTGACCCTTCTTTCGAGTCTTCTGCTGCGTCTGCCCTTGTCACTGAGCTCGTCGACTTTGCTGCGCGCTGTCGCTTAGACTACGCTGCGAGTCTTGTCGCTGAGTCTGAGTCTGCCTGTCCTCCGTCCGTCGGGGGTGAGTGTGCCCTTGGCACGGACGTCCTTGAGGACAGGCAGGAGGAGTTCCAGTGTCTGGCCGCCGCTTCACCTCATCTCGCGTCAGTACTGCTAGCCCCTGAGGGAGACCCGGATGCACTTGACATCCCGACTCCGCGCTCTTACGCGGAGGCGATAGAGGGTCCCTACTCCTCTCAGTGGCAGGCAGCTATGGATGCAGAGATGGCTTCCTGGAAGTCCACAGGCACCTACGTTGACGCTGTTCCCCCTCCTGGGGCGAACATAGTCAGTGGCATGTGGATCTTCAGGGTGAAGCGGCCACCGGGTTCTCCGCCTGTCTTCAAGGCGCGTTACGTGGCTCGTGGCTTCAGTCAGCGGCAGGGGGTTGACTACTTTCAGACCTTCTCCCCCACCCCGAAGATGACCACTCTTCGGGTACTACTGCACGTTGCTGCTCACCGTGACTACGAGCTGCATTCTCTCGACTTCAGTACTGCTTTCTTGCAGGGCAGCCTGCACGAGGAGATCTGGCTGCGTCGCCCACCTGGCTTCACTGGGTCTTTCCCTCCTGGTACCCAGTGGAGTCTTCGGCGTCCAGTCTACGGTCTCCGCCAGGCGCCACGTGAGTGGTACGACACACTGAGGACTACGCTGGCGGCACTTGGGTTTGCTCCTTCTACTGCCGACCCGTCGCTGTTTCTTCGCACCGACACCTCTCTGCCGCCGTTCTACATCCTCGTGTACGTCGACGACTTGGTCTTTGCCACAGCTGACACTGCTGGACTCGCCTACGTGAAGTCCGAGCTGCAGAAGAGACACACGTGCACTGACCTGGGTGAACTGCGCAGCTACCTTGGCTTGCAGATCACCCGGGACAGAGCACGCCGCACCATTACCCTGACTCAGTCACACATGGTGCAGCAGGTCCTTCAGCGCTTCGGCTTCACGTACTCCTCGCCTCAGGCCACTCCTCTGCCTACTCGCCACTCGCTCTCAGCTCTGCCTTCGGATGAGTCCGTAGAGTCGAGTGGCCCGTATGCAGAGCTTGTTGGCTGCCTCATGTACCTGATGACCTGCACACGACCTGACCTTGCATACCCTCTTAGCATTCTCGCACGCTATGTTGCTCCTGGGAGACACCGACCAGAGCACATGGCTGCAGCGAAGAGGGTGTTGCGCTACTTGTGCAGTACGTCGGGCATGGGGCTAGTGCTTGGAGGGCGCAGTCCAGTGGTCCTCACTGGGCACGCGGACGCTTCTTGGGTTGACGACCAGGCTACGCAGCGGTCGTCACAGGGTTACACCTTCAGCCTTGGTTCCGGCTCTGTTTCGTGGCGGGCCACTCGCTCGTCTTCTGTTCTCGGCTCCAGTTGTGAGGCTGAGATCTACACCGGGGCTATGGCTGCACAGGAGTTACGCTGGCTCACCTACCTGCTGTCCGACCTTGGAGAGCCGCCTCGTTCTCCTCCAGTCCTGTACGTAGACAACAAGGCCATGCTGGCCTTGTGTCGAGAGCAGCGACTGGAGCACAGGACAAAGCACATTGCTCTCCGCTACTTTCTTGCTCGTGAGCTACAGCAGCGTGGACAGTTGCGACTTGCGTACGTGGCCTCTGAGGCCAACACTGCTGATGTCTTCACCAAGGCACTTGCGCCTTGTGATCATCAGCGTTGTTGCACGCAGCTTGGTCTTGTGCCTGTTTTGCCTCACTTGCTCACTTCTTGACTTTGCTTGTACCTTGACCTATATATACTCTTGCTCTTACTTGCTTGACTCTTGTATATCTTTATATATGATCTTGCATGTGAACTGGCCTTGTGGCCCTTGAACTTGTGCTCGGAATGTGTGGTGACTTTGTGATCCACCCTGAGCTTTGCTTTGCTTTGCTTGACTGGTCTTGTGACCCCTTGTTCTCCCCCACTTTGCCTATGGGGGTGTGTCAGAACATTATAGCTTACTCTTTTCTGTAGGCTATAGTGGGGTATCCCATAGGGGGTACAACCCAATTAGGGTTTCATATTTGTACTCACATCATTTCATAGTGCACTCATTCTCGTTCCGTTTTCACAGTGTGTTAGAATGTTATTCTCTAGCCTGTAGTGGGGTGCTCTACAGAGAGTACAACCCATCTAGGGTTTGCTATATGTATCCTCATTGCTGCTAGTGAAACCCCTCTTTGCCTAAACTTTCACTAGCCTACCTAGGACTTACCTAGCTATGGCTCCTAACTCTACCTACTACTCTCACAAATTGCACTCAACAGTTTTATCCTATCGGATCTATGTAATTTGGCAGATAAAGACATTTCAGTCGTACATGGTACCTGCACTACAGGCGCGCATACCGACCAAATTGACCAGCGCATTACGTATGTTTGTAGAGATGCAGTTAGTTCCATATTCCTGCCAGTCTACTAGATTAGGCCTTCTACTTCAACAACACTAGGTTATAACCTTTCCGATCCATATAGTTTGGGAGATTTCAGAGTTCCAGCTCCGCCTTGTACCTACACACAAGCGTGCATACTTGCCCTACCGGCCGACGCATTATTCTTTCTGTTCAAATACAGCAAATGCCATAGGTATTCCCATTTATTTTAAATCATACCATTTTCCAACCCCCTACCATGTTTTAACCTATCGGATCTATGTAATTTGGCAGATGTAGACATTCCAGTCGTACATGGTACCTGCACTACAGGCGCGCATACCAATTAAACTGACCAGCGCATTACTTATGTTTCTAGAAATGGAGTTAGTACCATATTCATGTCAGTTCACTAGATTAGCCTTCTATTTCAACAACACTTGGTTATAACCTTTCTAACCTTTCACTTGATCCACACAATTTGGGATATTTCAGAGTTCTAGCTCCGCCTTGTACCTACACATAAGTGTGCATACTGACCTTACCAGCCGACGCAATATTCTCTCTGTACAAATACTGTGAATACCATATGTATTCCCATTTCCTTTAAATAATACCATTCCCTACCCCCCCACCATGTTTTAAACTATCGGATCTATGTAATTTGGCAAATATCGACATTCCAGTCGTACATGGTACCTGCACTACAGGCTTGCATACCGACCAAACTGACCAGCGCATTACTTATGTTTCTAGAGATGCAGTTAGTACCATATTATTGTGAGTTCACTAGATTAGGCCTTCTCCTTCAAGAACACTTGGTTATAACCTTTCCAAACCACATAATTTGGGAGATTTCATAGTTCGAGCTCCGCCTTGTACCTACACACAAGCGTACATACTTACCTTACCAGCCAATGTATTATTCTCTCTGTACAAATATAGTAAATACCATAAGTATTCCCATTTCCTTTAAATAATACTATTCCGCATCCCCCCACCATAGTTTAACCTATCGGATATATGTAATTTAGCAAAAATAGACATTCCACTTGTACATGGTACTTGCACTACAGGCGCGCATAACGACCAAACTGGCCAGCGCATTACTTATGTTTGTAGATAAGCAGTTAGTACCATATTCTTGCCTATCCACTAGATTAGGCCTTCTACTTCAAGAACACTAGGATATTACCTTTCTGATCCACATCGTTTGGGAGATTTAAGAGTTCCAGTTCCGCCTTATACCTACCCACAAGAGTGCATCCTGACCTTATCGGTCGACGCATTTTTATCTCCGTACAATATAGTGAATACCATATGTATTCCCATTTACTGTAAATTATACCATTCCCCACCCCCCTACCATGTTTTAACCTATCGGACCTATGTAATTTGGCAGATAAAGACAATTTAGTCGTACATGGTACCTGCACTACAAGCGCGCACACCGACCAAACTGACCAGCGCATTACGTATGTTCGTAGAGATGCAGTTAGTGCCATATTCTTGCCAGTCCACTAGATTAGGCCTTCTACTTCAACAACACTTGGTTATAACATTTTCGATCCACATAATTTGGGAGATTTCAGAGTTTCAGCTCCGCCTTGTACCTACACGCAAGCGTGCATATTGACCTTACCAGCTGTCACATTATTCTCTCTGTACAAATACAGTGATTACCATATGTATTCCCATTTCCTTTATATTATACCATTCCCCATCCCTCGTAGCATGTATTAACCTATCGGATCTACGTAATTTGACAAATGTAGACATTCCAGTTGTATATGGTACTTGCATTACAGGCGCGCATAGCGTCCAAACTGACCAGCACATTAGTTATGTTTGTAGAGATAAAATTAGTACCATATTTTTGCCACTCCACTAGATTAGGTCTGGGACTTCAACAACACTAGGTTACTGGGGCGGGGTGATAAAAAGCGGGAGAATGGAGCGAAGTGATGGAAAAGGGAGAATGGGGCGGGGTGATGGAAAGAGGGAGAATGGGGCGGGGTGATGGAAAGCGGGAGAATGGGGCGGGGTGATGGAAAGCGGGAGAATGGGGTAGGGTGATGGAAAGCGGGAGAATGGGGCGGGCTGTCGGATAGCGGGAGAATGGGGCGGGGTGATGGAAATCGGGAGAATAGGGCAGGGTGATGGAAAGCGGGAGAATGGGGCAGGGTGATGGAAAGCGGGAGAATGGGGCGGGGTGATGGAAAGCGGGAGAATAAGGCGGGGTGATGGAAAGCGGGATAATGGGGCGAGGTGATGGAAGCAGGGAGAATAGGGTGGGGTGATGGAAGAAGGGAGAACAGGGCGGGGTGATGGAAAGCGTGAGAATGGAGCGGGTGATGGAAAGCGGGAGAATGGGGGGGGTGATGGAAAGCGGGAGAATGGGGCGGGGTGATGGAAAGCGTGAGAATGGGGCGGGGTGATTGAAAGCGGGAGAATGAGGCGGGGTGATGGAAAGCGGGAGAATGGGGCGGGGCGATGGAAAGCGGGAGAATGGGGCGGGGTGATGGAAAGCGGGATAATGGGGCGAGGTGATGGAAGCAAGGAGAATGGGGCGGGGTGATGGAAGGAGGGAGAATGGGGCGGGGTGATGGAAAGCGTGAGAATGGTGCGGGTGATGGAAAGCGGGAGAATGGGGCGGGTGATGGAAAGCGGGAGAATGGGGCGGGGTGATGGAAAGCGTGAGAATGGGGCGGGGTGATGGAAAGCGGGAGAATGTGGCGGGGTGATGGAAAGCGGGAGAACCGGGCGGGGTGAAGGAAAGGGGGAGAATGGGGCGGGGTGATGAAAAGCGGGAGAATCGCGCGGGGTGATGGAAAGAGGGAGTTTTGGGCAGGGTGATGGAAAGCGGGAGAATGAAGCAGGGTGATGGAAAGCGGGAGAATGGGGCGGGGTGATGGAAAGCGGGAGAATGGGGCAGGGTGCTGGAAAGCGGGAGAATGGAGAGGGGTGATGGAAAGCGGGAGAATGAGGCAGGGTGATAGAAAGCGGAAGAATGGGGCGGGGTGCTGGAAAGCGGGAGAATGGGGCGGGGTGATGAAAAGCAGGAGAATGGGCGGGGTGATTGAAAGAGGGAGAATGGGGCGGGGTGATGGAAAGCGGGAAAATTGGGCGGGCTGATGGAAAGCGGGAGAATGGGGCGGGGTGATGGAAAGCACGAGAATGGGGCGGGTGATGGAAAGCGGGAGTATGGGGCGGGGTGATGGAAAGCGGGAGAATCGGGCGGGGTGATGGAAATCAGGAGAATGGGGCGGGGTGATGGAAAGCGGGAGAATGGCGTGGGGTGATGGAAAGCGGGAGAATGGGGCGGGGTGTTGGAAAGCGGGAGAATGGGGCGGGGTGATAGAAAAAGGGATAATGGGGCGAGGTGATGGAAGCAGAGAGAATGGGGCGGGATGATGGAAGGAGGGACAAGGGGGCGGGGTGATGGAAAGCGTGAGAATGGGGCGGGTGATGGAAAGCGGGAGAATGGGGCGGGTGATGGAAAGCGGGAGAATGGGGCGGGGTGATGGAAAGCGAGAGAATGGGGCAGGGTGATGGAAAGCGGGAGAATGGGGCGGGGTGATGGAAAGCGGGAGAATCGGGCGGGGTGATGAAAAGAGGGAGAATCGGGCGTGGAGATGGAAAGCGGGAGAATGGGGCGGGGTGATGGAAAGCTTGAGAATCGGGTGGGGTGATGAAAAGCGGGAGAATGGGGCGGGGTGATGGAAAGCGGGAGAATGGGGCGGGATGATGGAAAGTGGGAAAATGGGGCCGGGTGATGGAAAGCGGGAGAATGGGGCGGGGAGATGAAAAGCGGGAGAATGGGGCGGGGTGATGGAAAGTGGGAGATTGGGGCGGGGTGATGGATAGCGGGAGAATGGGGCAGGGTGATGGAAGGAGGGAGAATGGGTCGGGGTGATGGAAAGAGGGAGAATGGGGCGGGGTGATGGAAGGAGGGAGAATGGGGCGGGGTGATGGAAAGCGGGAGAATGGGGCGGGGTGATGGAAAGCGGGAGAATGGGGCGGGGTGATGAAAAGCGGGAGAATGTGGCGGGGTGATGGAAAGCGGGAGAATGGGGCGGGGTGATGGAAAGTGGGAGAATGGGGCGGGGTGATGAAAAGCGGGAGAATGGGGTGGGGTGATGGAAAGAGGGAGAATGGGGCGGGGTGATGGAAGGAGGGAGAATGGGGTGGGGTGAAGGAACGAGAGAAAATGGGGCGAAGTGATGGAAAGCGGGAGAATGGGGCGGGGTGATGGAAAGGTGGAGAATGGGGCGGGGTGATGGAAAGCGGGAGAATGGGGTGGGGTGATGGAAAGCATGAGAATGGGCGGGGTGATGGAAAGCAGGAGAATGGGGCGGGGTGATAGAAAGAGGGAGAATGGGGCGGGGCACTGGATGGCTGGAGAATGGGGCGGGGTGATAGAAAGCGGGAGAAAGGGGCGGGGTGATGGAAAACAGGAGAATGGGGCGGGATGATGGAAAGCGGGAGAATGGGGCGGGGTGATGGAAGGAGGGAAAATGGGGTGGGATGATGGAAAGCGGGAGAATGGGGAGGGGTGATGGAAAGCGGGAGAATGGGGCAGGGTGATGGAAGGCGGGAGAATGGGGCGGGGTGATGGAAAGCGGGAGAAAGGGGCAGGGTGATGGAAAGCGGGAGAATGGGGCGGGGTGATGTAAGGAGGCAGAATGGGGCGGGGTGATGGAAAGCGGATGAATGGGGCAGGGAGATGGAAAGCGGGAGTATGGGGCGGGATGATGGATAGCGGGAGAATGGGGCGGGGTGATGGAAAATGGGAGAATGGGGCGGGGTGATGGAAAGCGGGAGAATGGGGCGGGGTGATGGAAAGCGGGAGAATGGGGCGGGGTGATGTAAGGAGGGAGAATAGGGCGGGGTGATGGAAAGCGGATCAATGGGGCAGGGTGATGGAAAGCGGGAGAATGGGGCGGGGTGATGGAAAGCGGGAGAATGGGGCGGGTTGATGGAAAGCGGGAGAATGGGGCGGGGTGATGGAAAGCGGGAGAATGGGGCGGAGCGACGGAAATCGGGAGAACGGGGCGGAGTGATGGAAATCGGGAGAATGGGGTGGGATGATGGAAAGCAGGAGATAAGGGCGGGGTGATGGAAAGCGGGATAATGGGGCGAGGTGATGGAAAGCAGGAGAATGGGGAGGGGTGATGGAAAGCGGGAGAATGGGGCGGGGTGATGGAAAGCAGAGAATGGGGCGGGGTGATGGAAAGCGGGAGAATGGGGCGGGGTGATGGAAAGCGGGAGAATGGGGCGGGGTGATGTAAGGAGGGAGAATGGGGCGGGTTGATGGAAAGCGGATCAATGGGGCAGGGTGATGGAAAGCGGGAGAATGGGGCGTGTTGGTGCAACCCTACGGTTTGCACTCGGCTTGTTGTCCGTGTGCGTGCATGTGTGTGTGTATGGAATGGTATGAGGGCATGGGATAATATATATTTCATGCTTATAATTGTGTGTGAATGTTGAGTCTTGATGTCGAGTGTGTGTGTCGAGTCAATAGCGAGTTATCGTTAGACGCGTGTTACGCGGTCGTTTGTGTCTCGCGCGCGATTTCTATTTTTGTCGTGCGCGGTTTCTATTTTGTCCTGTGTCGAACGTTCGGTGTGTCGCAGGTGTGTGCAGCAGACCCATCAAGAACTCAAGGATGAGTTTGTGATGAAGAGCCCGAGCCTTGGTGTCAAGCCTCAAGTGATTTCGAAGCTCGCCAAAAGGGTACACCTCAAGATATTGAAGATAGTTACATTACTTTGTGTAGTGTAACATTTCACTTGGTGTAGGCCCTAGTGAAGGGTAGTTTCGAGACCCTTCGTGGTTGGGGACAGTGTGGCACTGTTCCACATCACTGTACCTCGGCTCTTGGGGTTTGTAGGAGCTGGGAGTCATTCCCAACTCGTAACTCTTCCTAACTCTTCCTATCTTGTGTTCTAAGACTATGTTGCTGCCATAGTGCTGTTCGTTCAAACCGACGCTGTGTCGTCAATACTTGGTCAAATCGTGCGATCTAAATTGCCTAGTGTAGGCGAGAATAAGACGCTCCAGATCCAAGTTGATTCAAGTCATTTGATGTTGTGACCAGAACGCTATGAACGTTTGAAGCCGCTGTGCAGAAATCCGACTGTGCACTCTATCTTTCGTTTTAGGCATATTGGAGCCTACTGTGACTATAACAAGTGGTATCAGAGCCCCTTGGAGCAGTTTCGACAATGGCTGGACCTGAGGAAAGGGGTGGCAGAGGTGCTGGTGGCAGAGGAGAAGCCCAAGCTCAAGACCAACCCCGTGATTCAGCCATGGCGCCTGTGCAACCAAGTGTTGGCCCATCTAAGGATGAGCCTAGAGTGTTTGGCCTTGACAAGTTCAATGGTGACAACTTTGCTGAGTGGTCCTTCAGAATGGAGAACATATTTGACCACTATGACCTGCTGGAGGTAATGGAAGGAACAGAGAAGCTTCCCGAGAACGACCCGGAGAAGAGCCCGTGGGTGCGGAAGAGCGCACAAGGCTACCTCCTACTTGGGCAAGCGTTGGGGAGCAGCCAAATCCGTCACATCAAGCCTTTCCAGCGTGAACCAGAGAAGGGCCCAAAGGCATGGGCTGCTCTCAAGGGTGTACACGCTCCTGCAACAGCGGCGGTAGCTGTGGTGTTGGAACGGCAAATGGCGACACTACGAATTGAAGAGGATGAAGCGGTTGAAGAAGGGGTGCAGAAATTCTTCGACTTGTTGACGCGGCTTGAGGGAGCTGATTTGAACTATAGTGAGCTCCAAAAGAAGACCAAGTTGCTGGCCCTACTCCCAGAGTCATGGTCCTCGCTCATCATCAACCTTAATCGCGACTTGCCCCGCCTCTCGCTTGAAGACGTGAAGCGAGCTATCCTTCAAGAGGATTTCCGCCGCCGTGAGTTGGCGAGTGCGGATGGCGCTTGGGCAGCGAGCATCGGCCGTGGATATGGTCGAGGAAGAGGTAGAGGACGAGGGGGAGGAAGGTTTGGTGGCAGCAATTTCGGCGGAGGCGGTCGCGGCCGATTCGACGGCGAGTGTCACTATTGCCACAAGAGCGGACACATGTGGCGCGACTGCTACAAAATCCCTGAGTTGGACCCCTGCTCAAGGCCAAGAGGGTAGAAGAGCAGGAGGAGGGAGAGGAAGAGGCCGTGGAGGCCGTGGCGGTCGCGGTGGCGGAGCTGCAAACATGAAGAGCGGAGACAACGACAAGGACCCGAGCAACGATCGGTACCCGGGTCTATTCTACTTCGTGTCGACGCAAGTACCGACTGGTCCAGAGAAGGATGAAGGCTTTGAGGAGCCAGCAGCTGTGGGGAAGGTGACTCTACACCCTCTGGACTATTGGGTGATCGATAGTGGCGCTACCTATAGCATGACACCTCGCCCGGACTTGCTCACCGAACCCGAACCGTCACCTGTGAAGCATGTCACATCAGCTTTGGGGCAGCGAGCGGAGGTGAAAGGCATGGGCAAGGCCATGTTTAAGGGTGCTGATGGGAAGATGGTGGGCCTCAAGAATGTGCTTTGGGTGCCCAGCCTTGCTGCCAACCTGATTTCCGTGCGGCGGTTGGCAAAGGCCGGCATGGACACGAACTCAAAGGGAGCCAAGACCTACACCGCAAGGCTTGGCGATCGGATTCTTTGGGACCTTCATGAGGACAAAGATGTCTACAACGAGATGTGGCAGATCCCTGTGGTCCCAATGCCTAAGGAGAGGCAAGTGGCAGCAAGCGTCAGCACCAAAGGTGGAGCGGTTGGTAGCGGCGATTGCGCGGACGGTCGCGCTAAGGAGAAGGACTCCAAGAAGTGCAATCTTGGAGGGACCAGCAAGCTTGGTGAACCTATGGAGAGAGGTGCAGCAGCCAAGGAGCAGCAAAAGGGTGAGGAGAACCCCGAGGCAGCAGCGGAGGAGGACTACGGAGAGAGTATGTGGGGCGCTATTGCGAGCGCGGCATTCTCCAATCCAACTTCGGCTACGGGGAAGTGTGATTGGCTCACCTTGCATCGGCGCATGGGGCATGTGGCCCTGCCCATCTTGCAGCAGCTAGTAAAGAATGAGATGGTTGCTGGCATACGTGTGAAGGGGGAGCCCGATGAGGTACTTGGCTGCCCGACGTGCATGCAAGCCAAGTTCACCCGTTTCCCATTCTCTAGTTCGGAGGCAACGGCTAAGGCACCACTTGATGAGGTGGTGATGGACGTGGTGGGCCCCCTGAAGCTTGGAGCTGCTGGAGCTGAGTACTTCCTCACTATTGTGGACGTCTACACCCGTATGACTTGGGTGTACGTGCTGGCCAAGAAGAGCGACGTGGCTGAAACGTTGAAGGCGGATTGGTTCCCGATGGTGGAGCGGCAACAAGACCGTCTAGTCAAGTCAATCCGCACCGATCGAGGGGGAGAGTTCCTGAGCAAGGAGTTTGGGTTGTGGCTGAAGAAGAATGGTATTCGGCACTCCCTCACCATGCCATACTCCCCTGCAATGAACGGCATCGCCGAGCGAGCGAACCGCACAATCACGGAGGCGGCACGCGGGTTGCTCATTGAAGCCGGGCTACCCGACTATTTCTGGCCTGATGCGGTGTGGAGCGCGTGTGTGGCCAAGAACCGAGCCTTGACTCATGTGGGAGCAGACAAATGGGTGCCCTATGTGGAGTGGCTAGGAAGGAAGCCAAAGGTGGATATGCTTCGGGTGTTCGGGTGCATGTGCATGGCGCTCGTGCCTAAGCATCTTCGGCACAACAAGCTTGGTGCCAAGGCGGTGTGGGCCGTGCACTTGGGCATGGCTCAAAACAGCAAGGGATGGCTTCTTTGGGACCCATTCACCAAGAAGTTCTTGGTGAGCAGGGACTGCAAGTTCATGAAGAACTTCATGTACAAAGATTGGAAGGCGGAGAATGAGGCGAAGATAGGCGTGCGGTTTGGGGAGGTGAAGAGTTCCGGCTTGGAGCATGTGGAGCTGCCTTTGGAGCTGAGCAGCGGCAGCACAACCACAAGGCAATCCTCCCTTGTGAATGGGGGAGAGGAGGCCAATGATGCAGAGGAAGAAGAGGAGGAGGTGCAGCAAGTGAGCGAGCGTGCACCGTCACTCCCTTCCCGTACTACGAGTGCTCCACGGATTCGAGCCACACCGCAGCAACGCCAAGGCCTTCAAGTCCCTGCAGCTGATGAGGAAGGAAGGGGGAAGAGGAGAGTTCAACCCCCTAATAGGCTGACCTATGATGCGCCGGGAAAGCAGGGCAAGACAGCCCTGGCCGGAGCGGCAATGATGGTCGGAGACGACGAGGAGAGTGACTACGAGGAGTGTGCCTTCGCGTTCTTCTCTCCGGTGGAGATGCCGGGAGAACCAGCAACTCTCAAGGAGGCTTTGGAGAGTAGTGATGCTGAGAAGTGGAAGAAGGCAATGGAGAGTGAGCTGAAGAGCATCAAGGAGAATGACACGTTTGAATTGGTGGAGCTACCGGAGGGGCGTACGGCGATAACGTCCAAGTGGCTCTTCAAAATCAAGTCGGATGCCGACGGCAAGATCGAGCACTACAAGTCTAGGCTTGTAGCCAAGGGGTACCAGCAGAAGGAGAAGGTGGACTTCAAGGAGCTGTTTGCCCCTGTGGTGAAGCCGACGACGCTGCGAACCCTATTCGCGGGAGCCGCCATCAAAGGATGGGTAGTAAAACAAATGGACATCGTAACGGCATTCCTTAACGACATCCTTGAGGAGGAGATTTTTATGGCGCAGCCAGAGGGGTTTGATGATGGTAGTGGCAGAGTGTGGAAGCTGAAGAAGGCCCTCTATGGGCTGAAGCAGGCCCCTAGGCAATGGTACATGAAGCTGCGCGAAGTGTTGGAGGGGATCGGCTTCACTCCCTCAACGGCCGATCACTCCTTGTTCATGCTTGGCGAGGGGGAGCAGAGGAGCTTCATGGTGGTTTATGTGGATGACATTCTTATATTCTCACCCTCCTTTGACCTTGTGAAGGAGGTGATGCTGAAGCTGCATGACAATTTCAAGTCCAAGTCCCTTGGTGACGTGGACTTCTACCTTGGGCTCCACATCGAACGAGACGTGGAGAAGCGGAGCATGCGAGTGCACCAACGGAAGTACCTGGAGGCGTTGGCTGCCAACTTCGGCCAGAGTGAAGGTCATGTGGCTACTCCCTTTCCCTCTGGGTTCAAGTGTGTGAAGGGACCAGAGGAGGAGAGCGTTTGTGAAGAGGAGAGGCGCCGTTTTCACTCGTTGGTGGGCAGCCTCATGTATGCGGCGGTAAACACCCGACCGGACGTCGCGTTTGCTACCGGGCAGCTGGCTAGGGTTGTGCAATGCCCTAATGAGGAGCAGGTAGCAGCTGGAATGAGGGTGGCCAAGTATCTTGGCCAAACACCGACCGTTGGGCTGCAATACTCGGCGGCGGCACAAAGGCGCCAAAAGGGCGCGGATGGTGTTGAACCCGGGCGTTTGTTCCTCACCGCCTACTCAGATGCGTCATATGCATCGGAACCAGAGGACATGACAAGTGTGGGAGGATTCATATGCTGTGTTGGTGGAGGCCCAACTGCTTGGGAGAGCAAGAAGCAGGTTGACCAAGCTTTGAGCTCGGTGGAGTCCGAGTACATGGCACTCTTCCGTGCCGTACGGGAGATTGTGTGGCAGCGGCGTCTGTTGGCTGAATTGGGGGAGGAGCAGCAAGGACCTACCCCACTCTACTGTGACAGCCAGGGTGCCATTGCTCTTGCTAAGAACCCTGTGTTGCATGGACTCACAAAGCACATGAGGGTGAAGTGGCATTGGACGAGGAGCATGGTGACCGCGGGTGAAGTTGAGTTGCGGTACGTGAAGACCACGGGGCAGCCGGCTGACATGATGACTAAGAGGCTGGTGGAGCAGCAGCATTGGAAGTGTTGCAAGCTGGCTGGGATGGCTCTGAACTGAGAGAGCAACATATCCTAAGGCCAACAATCCGAGGGGGAGTTTGTTGGTGCAACCCTACGGTTTGCACTCGGCTTGTTGTCCGTGTGCGTGCATGTGTGTGTGTATGGAATGGTATGAGGGCATGGGATAATATATATTTCATGCTTATAATTGTGTGTGAATGTTGAGTCTTGATGTCGAGTGTGTGTGTCGAGTCAATAGCGAGTTATCGCTAGACGCGTGTTACGCGGTCGTTTGTGTCTCGCGCGCGATTTCTATTTTTGTCGTGCGCGGTTTCTATTTTGTCCTGTGTCGAACGTTCGGTGTGTCGCAGGTGTGTGCAGCAGACCCATCAAGAACTCAAGGATGAGTTTGTGATGAAGAGCCCGAGCCTTGGTGTCAAGCCTCAAGTGATTTCGAAGCTCGCCAAAAGGGTACACCTCAAGATATTGAAGATAGTTACATTACTTTGTGTAGTGTAACATTTCACTTGGTGTAGGCCCTAGTGAAGGGTAGTTTCGAGACCCTTCGTGGTTGGGGACAGTGTGGCACTGTTCCACATCACTGTACCTCGGCTCTTGGGGTTTGTAGGAGCTGGGAGTCATTCCCAGCTCGTAACTCTTCCTAACTCTTCCTATCTTGTGTTCTAAGACTATGTTGCTGCCATAGTGCTGTTCGTTCAAACCAACGCTGTGTCGTCAATACTTGGTCAAATCGTGCGATCTAAATTGCCTAGTGTAGGCGAGAATAAGACGCTCCAGATCCAAGTCGAATCAAGTCATTTGATGTTGTGACCAGAACGCTATGAACGTTTGAAGCCGCTGTGCAGAAATCCGACTGTGCACTCTATCTTTCGTTTTAGGCACATTGGAGCCTACTGTGACTATAACAGGGCGGGATGATGGATAGCGCGAGAATGGGGCGGGGTGATGGAAATCGGGAGAATGGGGCGGGGTGATGGAAAGCGGGAGAATGGGGCGGGGTGATGGAAAGCGGGAGAATGGGGCGGGGTGGTTGAAAGCGGGAGAATGGGGCGGGGTGATGGAAAGCAGGAGAATGGGGCGGGGTGATGGAAAGCGGGAGAATGGGGCGGGGGTGATGGAAAGCGGGAGAATGGGGCGGGGTGATGGAAAGCGGGAGAATGGGGCGGGGTGATGGAAAGCAGGAGAATGGGCGAGGTGATGGTAAGCGGGAGAATGTGGCCGGGTGATAGGAGGGAGAATGGGGCGGGGCACTGGATGGCGGGAGAATGGGGTGGGGTGATGGAAAGCGGGAGTATGGGGCGGGGTGATGGAAAACGGGAGAATGGGGCGGAGTGATGGAAAGCGGGAAAATGGGGCGGGGTGATCGAAAGCGGGAGAATGGGGCGGGGTGATGGAAAGCGGGAGAATGGGGCGGGGTGATGGAAAGCGGGAGAATGGGGCGGGGTGATGGAAGGAGGGAGAATGGGGCAGGGTGATGGAAGGAGGGAGAATGGGGCGGGGTGATGGAAAGCGGGAGAATGGGGTGGGGTGATGGAAAGCGGGAGAATGGGGCGGGGTGATTGAAAGCACGAGAATGAGGCGGGGTGATGGAAAGTGGGAGAATAGGGAGGGGTAATGGAAAGCGGGAGAATGGGGTGGAGTGGTGGAAAGCGGGAGAATGGGGCGGGGTGATGGAAAGCGGGAGAATGGGGCGGGGAGATGGAAAGCGGGAGAATGGGGCGGGGTGATGGAAAGCAGGAGAATGGGGCCGGTTGATAGAAAGCGGGAGAATGGGGCGGGGTGATGGAAAGCGGGAGAATGGGGTGGGGTGATGGAAAGCGGATGAATGGGGCAGGATGATGGAAAGCGAGAGAATGGGGTGGGATTATTGATAGCAGGAGAATGGAGCGCGGTGATGGAAAATGGAAGAATGAAGTATGGTGATGGAAAGCGGGAGAATGGGGCGGGGCACTGGATGGCGGGAGAATGGGTCGTGGTGATGGAAGGAGGGTGAATGGGGCGGGGTGATGGAAGGAGGGAGAATGGGGCGGGGTGATGGAAAGCGGGAGAATGGGGCGGGGTGATGGAAAGCGGGAGAATGGGGAGAGGTGATGGAAAGCGGGAGAATGGGGCGGGGTGATCAAAAGTGGGAGAATGGGGCGGGGTGATGGAAAGCGGGAGAATGGGGCGGGGTGATGGAAAGCGGGAGAATGGGGAGAGGTGATGGAAAGAGGCAGAATGGGGCGGGGTGATGGAAAGTGGGAGAATGGGGCGGGGTGATTGAAAGCGGTCGAAAGGGGCGGGGTGATGGAAGGAGGGAAAATTGGGCAGGGTGATTGAAGGAGGCAGAATGGGGCGGGGTGATGGAAAGCGGGAGAATGGGGTGGGGTGATTGAAAGCGGTCGAAAGGGGCGGGGTTATGAAAAGCGGGAGAATGGGGCGGGGTGATGGAAAGCGGGAGAATGGGGCGGGGTGATGGAAAGCGGAAGAATGGGATGGGGTGATGGAAAGCGGGAGAATGGGGCGGGGTGATGGAAAGCGGGAGAATGGAGCGGGGTGATGGAAAGCGGGAGAATGGGGCGGGGTGATGGAAAGCGGGAGAATGGGGCGGGGTGATGGAAAGCGGGAGAATGGGGTGGGGTGATGGAAAGCTGATGAATGGGGCAGGGTGATGGAAAGCGGGAGAATGGGGCGGGATGATGGATAGCGGGAGAATGGGGCGGGGTGAAGGAAAACGGGAGAATGATGTGGGGTGATCGAAAGCGGGAGAATGGGGCGGGGTGATGGACATCGGGAGAATGGGGTGGGATGATGGAAGAAGGGAGAATGGGGTGGGGTGATAGAAGGCAGGAGAATGGGGCGGCGTGATGGAAAGCGGGAGAATGGGGCGGGGTGATGGAAAGCGGGAGAATGGGACAGGGTTATGGAAAGCAGGAGAATGGGCGGGGTGATGGAAAGTGGGAGAATGGGGCGGGGTGATAGAAAGCGGGAGAATGGGGCGGGGTGATAGAAGAAGGGAGAATGGGGCGGGGCATTGGATGACAGGAGAATGGGGCGGGGTGATGGAAAGCTGGAGAATGGGGCGGGGTGATGGGAAGCGAGAGAATGGGGCAGGGTGATGGAAAGCGGGAGAATGGGGCGGGGTGATGGAAAGCGGGAAAATGGGGCGGGGTGATGGAAAGCGGGAGAATGGGGCGGGGTGATGGAAGGTGGGAGAATGGGGCGGGGTGATGGAAAGCGGGAGAATGGGGCTGGGTGAAGGAAAGCATGCGAATGGGCGGGGTGATGGAAAGTAAAAAAATGGGGCGGGGTGATAGAAGGAGGGAGAATGGGGCGGGGCACCGGATGGCGGGAGAATGGGGCGGGGTGATGGAAAGCGGGAGAATGGGGCGGGGTGATTGAAAGCACGAGAATGAGGCGGGGTGATGGAAAGTGGGAGAATGGGGTGGAGTGGTGGAAAGCGGGAGAATGGGGCGGGGTGATGGAAAGCGGGAGAATGGGGCGGGGAGATGGAAAGCGGGAGAATGGGGCGGGGTGATGGAAAGAGGGAGAATTGGGCGGGGTGATGGAAAGCGGGAGAATGGGGCGGGGTGATGGAAAGCGGGAGAATGGGGCGGGGTGATGGAAAGAGGGAGAATGGGGCGGGCTGATGGAAAGCGGGAGAATGGGGCGGGGTGATGGAAAGAGGGAGAATTGGGGCGGGGTGATGGAAAGCGGGAGAATGGGGCGGGGTGATGGAAAGAGGGAGAATGGGGCGGGGTGATGGAAAGCGGGAGAATGGGTCGGGGTGATGGAAAGAGGGAGAATGGGGCGGGGTGATGGAAAGAGGGAGAATGGGGCTGGATGACGGAAATCGGGAGAATGGGGCGGGGTGATGGAAAGAGGGAGAATGGGGCGAGGTGACGGAAATCGGGAGAACGGGGCGGGGTGATGGAAAGAGGGAGAATGGGGCGGGGTGATGGAAAGAGGGAGAATGGGGCGGGGTGATGGAAAGAGGGAGAATAGGGCGGGGAGATGGAAAGAGGAAGAATGGGGCGGGGTGATGGAAAGAGGGAGAATGGGGCGGGGTGACGGAAATTTGGAGAATGGGGCGGGGTAATGGAAAGAGGGAGAAAGGGGCGGGGTGACGGAAATCGGGAGAATGGGGCGGGGTGATGGAAAGCTGGAGAATGGGGCGGGGTGATGGGAAGCAAGAGAATGGGGCAGGGTGATGGAAAGCGGGAGAATGGGGCGGGGTGATGGAAAGCGGGAAAATGGGGCGGGGTGATGGAAAGCGGGAGAATGGGGCGGGGTGATGGAAGGTGGGAGAATGGGGCGGGGTGATGGAAAGCGGGAGAATGGGGCGGGGTGAAGGAAAGCATGCGAATGGGCGGGGTGATGGAAAGTAAAAAAATGGGGCGGGGTGATAGAAGGAGGGAGAATGGGGCGGGGCACCGGATGGCGGAAGAATGGGGCGGGGTGATGGAAAGCGGGAGAATGGGGCGGGGTGATTGAAAGCACGAGAATGAGGCGGGGTGATGGAAAGTGGGAGAATGGGGAGGGGTAATGGAAAGCGGGAGAATGGGGTGGAGTGGTGGAAAGCGGGAGAATGGGGCAGGGTGATGGAAAGCGGGAGAATGGGGCGGGGAGATGGAAAGCGGGAGAATGGGGCGGGGTGACGGAAAGCAGGAGAATGGGGCGGGTTGATAGAAAGCGGGAGAATGGGGCGGGGTGACGGAAAGCGGGAGAATAGGGTGGGGTGATGGAAAGCGGATGAATGGGGCATGATGATGGAAAGCGGGAGAATGGGGTGGGATTATTGATAGCAGGAGAATGGAGCGGGGTGATCGAAAATGGAAGAATAAAGTATGGTGATGGAAAGCGGGAGAATGGGGCGGGGTGATGGAAAGCGGGAGAATGGGGCGGGGTGATGAAAAGCGGGAGAATGGGCGGGTTGATAGAAAGCGGGAGATTGGGGCGGGGTGATAGAAGGAGGGAGAATCGGGCGGGGCACTGGATGGCGGGAGAATGGGGCGTGGTGATGGAAGGAGGGTGAATGGGGCGGGGTGATGGAAGGAGGGAGAATGGGGCGGGGTGATGGAAAGCGGGAGAATGGGGCGGGGTGATGGAAAGCGGGAGAATGGGGAGAGGTGATGGAAAGCGGGAGAATGGGGCGGGGTGATCAAAAGCGGGAGAATGGGGCGGGTTGATGGATAGTGGGAGAATGGGGCGGGGTGATGGAAGGAGGGAAAATTGGGCAGGGTGATTGAAGGAGGCAGAATGGGGTGGGGTGATGGAAAGCGGGAGAATGGGGTGGGGTGATTGAAAGCAGTCGAAAGGGGCGGGGTTATGAAAAGCGGGAGAATGGGGCGGGGTGATGGAAAGCGGGAGAATGGGGCGGGGTAATGGAAAGCGGGAGAATGGGGCGGGGTGATGGAAAGCGGGAGAATGGAGCGGGGTGATGGAAAGCGGGAGAATGGGGCGGGGTGATGGAAAGCGGGAGAATGGGGCGGGGTGATGGAAAGCGGGAGAATGGGGTGGGGTGATGGAAAGCGGATGAATGGGGCAGGGTGATGGAAAGCGGGAGAATGGGGCGGGATGATGGATAGCGGGAGAATGGGGCGGGGTGATGGAAAACGGGAGAATGATGTGGGGTGATCGAAAGCGGGAGAATGGGGCGGGGTGATGGAAATCGGGAGAATGGGGTGGGGTGATGGAAGAAGGGAGAATGGGGTGGGGTGATAGAAGGTAGGAGAATGGGGCAGGGTGATGGAAAGCGGGAGAATGGGGCGGGGTGATGGATAGCGGGAGAATGGGACAGGGTGATGGAAAGCAGGAGAATGGGCGGGGTGATGGAAAGTGGGAGAATGGGGCGGGGTGATAGAAAGCGGGAGAATGGGGCGGGGTGATAGAAGAAGGGAGAATGGGGCGGGGCATTGGATGGCGGGAGAATGGGGCGGGGTGATGGAAAGCTGGAGAATGGGGCGGGGTGATGGGAAGCGATAGAATGGGGCGGGGTGATGGAAAGCGGGAGAATGGGGCGGGGTGATGGAAAGCGGGAAAATGGGGCGGGGTGATGGAAAGCGGGAGAATGGGGCGGGGTGATGGAAGGTGGGAGAATGGGGCGGGGTGATGGAAAGCGGGAGAATGGGGCGGGATTGAAGGAAAGCATGCGAATGGGCGGGGTGATGGAAAGTAAAAAAACGGGGCGGGGTGATAGAAGGAGGGAGAATAGGGCGGGGCACCGGATGGCGGGAGAATGGGGCGGGGTGATGGAAAGCGGGAGAATGGGGCGGGGTGTTGGAAAGTGGGAGTATGGGGCAGGGTGATGGAAAGTGGTTGAATGGGGTGGGGTGATGGAAGGAGGGAGAATTGGGCGGGGTGATGCAATGCTGGCGAATGGGGCGGGGTGATGGAAAGCGGTTAAATGGGGTGAGGTGATGGAAGGAGGGAGAATGGGACAGGGTGATGGAAGGAGGGAGAATGGGGCGGGGCGATGAAAAGCTGGGGAATGGGGCGGGGTGATGGAAAGCAAGAGAATGGGGCAGGGTGATGGAAAGCGGGAGAATGGGGCTTGGTGGTGGAAGGAGGGTGAATGGGGCAGGGTGATGGAAGGAGGGAGAATGGGGAAGGGTGATGGAAAGAGCGCGAACGGGGCGGGGTGATGGAAAGCGGGAGAATGGGGCGGGGAGATGGAAAGCGGGAGAATGGGGCGGGGTGATGGAAAGCGGGAGAATGGGGCGGGGTAATGGAAAGCGGGAGAATGGGGTGGGGTGATGGAAAGCGGGAGAATGGGGCGGGGTGATTGAAAGCGAGAGAATGGGGCGGGGTGATGGAAAGCGGGAGAATGGGGCGGGGTGATAGAAAGTGGGAGAATGGAGCGGGGTGATGGAATGCGGGAGAATGGGGAGGGGTGATGGGAAGCAGGAGAATGGGGTGGGGTGATGGACAGTGAGAGAATGGGGCGGGGTGATGGAAAGTGGGAGAATGGGGCAGGGTGATGGAAAGCGGGAGAATGGGGCGGGGTGATGGAAAGTGGGAGAATGGGGCGGGTTGATGGAAGGAGGGAGAATCGGGCAGGGTGATGAAAGGAGGGAGAATGGGGCGGGGTGATGGAAAGCGAGAGAATGGGGCGGGGTGATGGAAAGCGGTAGAATGGGGCGGGGTAATTGAAAGCGTGGGATTGGGGCGGGGTGATGGAAAGCGGGAGAATAAGGCGGGGTAATGGAAAGCGGGAAAATGGGGTGGGGTGATGGAAAGCGGGAGAATGGGGCGGGGTGATTGAAAGCGAGAGAATGGGGCGGGGTGATGGAAAGCGGGAGAATGGGGCGGGGTGATGGAAAGTGGGAGAATGGGGCGGGGTGATGGAATGCGGGAGAATGGGGAGGGGTGATGGGAAGCAGGAGAATGGGGTGGGGTGATGGACAGTGAGAGAATGGGGCGGGGTGATGGAAAGCGGGAGAATGGGGCAGGGTGATGGAAAGCGGGAGAATGGGGCAGGTGATGGAAAGCGGGAGAATGGGGCGGGGTGATAGAAAGCGGGAGAATGGGGCGGGGTGATGGAAGGAGGGAGAATTGGGCGGGATGATGGAAGGAGGGAGAATGGCGCGGGGCAATCGAAAGCGGAAGAATGGTGCGGGGTGATGGAAAGTGGTAGAATGGGGCGGGGTAATGGAAAGCGGGAGATTGGGGTGGGGTGATGGAAAGCGGGAGAATGGGGCGGGGCGATGGAAAGCGGGAGAATGGGGCGGGTTGATGGAAAGCGGGAGAATGGTGCGGGGTGATGGAAAGCGGGAGAATGGAGCGGGGTGATGGAAAGCGGGAGAATGGGGCGGGGTGATGGAAAGTGGGAGAATGGGGCAGGGTGATGGAAAGCGGGAGAATGGGGCGAGGTGATGGAAGGAGGGAGAATGGGGCGGGGTGATGGAAAGCCGGAGAATGGGGCGGGGTGATGGAAAGCGGGAGAATGGGGCAGCGTGATGGAAAGTGGGAGAATGGGGTGGGGTGATGGAAAGCGGAAGAATGGGGCGGGGTGATGGAAAGCGGGAGAATGGGGCGGGGTGATGGAAAGCGGGCGAATGGGGCGGGGTGATGGAGAGCGGGAGAATGGGGCGGGGTGAAGGAAAGCAGGAGAATGGGTGGAGTGATGGAAAGCGGGAGAATGGGGCGGGGTGATGGAAAGCGGGAAAATGGGGCGGGGTGATGGAAAAAGGAGAATGGGGCGGGGTGATGGAAAGCGGGAGAATGGGGCTGGGTGATGGAAAGCGGGAGAATGGGGCGGGGTGAAGGAAAGCAGGAGAATGGGCGGGGTGATGGAAAGCGGGAAAATGGGCCGGGGTGATAGAAAGCGGGAGAATGGGGCGGGGTGATGGAAAGTGGGAGTATGGGGCGGGGTGATGAAAAGTGGTTGAATGGGGGGGATGATGGAAGGAGGGAGAATTTGGCAGGGTGATGGAAGGACGGAGAAATGGGCGGGGCGATGGAAAGCGGGAGAATGGGGCGGGGTGATGGAAAGCGGGAGAATGGGGCGGGGTGATGGAAAGCCGGAGAATGGGCCGGGGTGACGGAAGGACGGTGAAATAGGCAGGGCGATGGAAAGCGGGAGAATGGGGCGGGGTGATGGAAAGCGGGAGAATGGGGCGGGGTGATGGAAAGCGGGAGAATGGGCCGGGGTGATGGAAGGAGGGAGAATGGGGTGGGGTGATGGAAAGCGGGAGAATGGGGCGGGGTGATTGTAAGCGAGAGAATGGGGCGGGGTCATGGAAAGCGGGAGAATGGGGTGGGGTGATGGAAAGCGGGAGAATGGGGCGGGGTGACTGTATCGAGCAAGTTGAAAAGTCGAGAGTGAAGAAGCGTTCAATAAAGAGCAAAGGTACAAAGATATAGGCAAGAAATAGGGTAATGAGGTGCACCACCAAACGGGAAACATAACTACACTAACACTACAGACAATTACATAAATATGAATAACATATTTCGACAGATTGTAAGCGACAGAATGGGGCGGGGTCATGGAAAGTGGGAGAATGGGGCGGGGTGATGGAAAGCAGGAGAATGGGGCCGGTTGATGGAGAAGGGAGAATGGGGCGGGGTGATGGAAAGCGGGAGATGGGGCGGAGTGATGGAAAGCGGGAGAATGGGGCGGGGTGATGGAATGCGGAAGAATGGGGAGGGGTGATGGGAAGCAGGAGAATGGGGTGGGGTGATGGAAAGTGAGAGAATGGGGCGGGGTGATGGAAAGCGGGAGAATGGGGCAGGGTGATGGAAAGCGGGAGAATGGGGCGGGTGATGGAAAGCGGGAGAATGGGGCGGGGTGATAGAAAGCGGGAGAATGGGGCGGGGTGATGGAAGGAGGGAGATTGGGGCAGGGTGATTCAAGGAGGGACAATGGGGCGGGGTGATGGAAAGCCGATGAATGGGGCACGGTGATGGAAAGGAAGAGAATGGGGCGGGATGATGGATAGCGGGAGAATGGGGCGGGGTGATGGAAAGCGGGAGAATGGGGTGGGGTGATGGAAAGCGGGAGAATGGGGCGGGGTTATGGAAAGCGGGAAAATGAGGCGGGGCGATGGAAAGCGGGAGAATGGGGCGAGGTGATGGAAGGCGGGAGAATGGGGCGAGGTGATGGAAAGCGGGAGCATGGGGCGGGGTGAAGGAAAGCAGGAGAATGGGCGGGGTGATGGAAAGTAGAAAAATGGGGCGGGGTGACAGAAGGAGGGAGAATGGGGCGGGGCACCGGATGGCGGGAGAATGGGGCGGGGCGATGGAAAGCGGGAGAATGGGGCGGAGTGTTGGAAAGTGGGTGAATGGGGCGGGGTGTTGGAAGGAGGGAGAATTGGGCGGGGTGATGGAAAGCGGGAGAATGGGGCGGGGTGATGGAAAGTGGGTGAATGGGGCGGGGTGATGGGAGGAGGGAGAATTGGGCGGGGTGATGGAAAGCGGGCGAATGGGACGGGGTGATGGAAGGAGGGAGGATGGGGTGGGGTGATGGAAGGAGGGAGAATGGGGCGGAGTGATGGAAAGCAAGAGAATGGGGCTGGGTGATGGAAAGCGGGAGAATGGGGCTGGGTGATGGAAGAAGGGTGAATGGGGCAGGGTGATGGAAGGAGGGAGAATGGGGCGAGGTGATGGAAAGTGCGCGAATGGGGCGGGGTGATGGAAAGCGGGAGAATGGGGCGGGGAGATGGAAAGCGGGAGAATGGGGCGGGTTGATGGAAAGAGGGAGTATGGGGCGGGGTGATGGAAAGCGGGAGAATGGGACGGGGTGATGGAAAGCGGGAGAATGGGGCGGGGTGATGGAAGGAGGGAGAATGGGGTAGGGTGATGGAAGGAGGGAGAATGGGGCGGGGTGATGGAAGGCGGGAGAATGGGGCGGGGTGATGGAAAGCGGTAGAATGGGGCGGGGTAATGGAAAGCGGGGGATTGGGGCGGGGTGATGGAATGCGGGAGAATGGGGTGGGGTGATGGAAAGCAGGGGAATGGGGTAGGGTGATGGAAAGCGGGAGAATGGGGCGGGGTGATGGAAAGCGAGAGAATGGGGCGGGTTGATGGAAGGAGGGAGAATGGGGTGGGGTGATGGAAAGCGGGAGAATGGGGCGGGGTGATGGAAGGAGGGAGAATGGGGCGAGGTGATGGAAGGAGGGAGAATGCGGCGGGGTGATGGAAAGCGGGAGAATGGGGCGGGGTGATGGAAAGCGGGAGAATGGGGCGGCGTGATGGAAAGCGGTAGAATGGGGTGGGGCGATGGAAAGCGGAAGAATGGGGCGGGGTGATGGAAAGCGGGAGAATGGGGCGGGGTGATGGAAAGCGGGCGAATGGGGCGCGGTGATGGAGAGCGGGAGAATGGGGAGGGGTGATGGAAAGCGGGAGAATGGGGCGGGGTGATGGAAAGCAGGAGAATGGGGCGGGGTGATGGAAAGCGGGAGAATGGGGCAGGGTGATGGAAGGAGGAAGAATGTGGCGGGTTGATGGAATGAGAGAGAATGGGGCGGGGTCATGGAAGGCGGGAGAATGGGGCGGGGTGATGGAAGGAGGGAGAATGTGGCGGGGTGATGGAAGGAGGGAGAATGGGGCGTGGTGATGGAAAGCGGGAGAATGGGGCGGGGTGATGGAAAGCGGAAGAATGGGGCGCGGTGATGGAAAGCGGGAGAATGGGGCGGGGTGATGGAAAGCGGGCGAATGGGACGGGGTGATGGAGAGCGGGAGAATGGGGAGGGGTGATGGAAAGCGGGAGAATGGGGCGGGGTGATGGAAAGCAGGAGAATGGGGCGGGGTGATGGAAAGCGGGAGAATGGGGCAGGGTGATGGAAAGCGGGAGAATGGGGCGGGTGATGGAAGGAGGGAGAATGGGGCGGGGTGATGGAAGGAGAGAGAATGGGGCGGGGTCATGGAAGGCGGGAGAATGGGGCGGGGTGATGGAAGGAGGGAGAATGTGGCGCGGTGATGGAAGGAGGGAGAATGGGGCGTGGTGATGGAAAGCGGGAGAATGGGCAGAGTGATGGAAAGCGGGAGAATGGGGCGGGGTGGTAGAAGGAGGGAGAATTGGGCGGGGCACTGGATGGCGGGAGAATGGGGTGGGGTGATGGAAAGCGGGAGAATGGGGCAGGGTGAAGTAAAGCGGGAGAATGGGGCGGGGTGATGGAAAGCGGTTGAACGGGGCGGGGTGATGGAACGAGGGAGAACGGGGCGGGGTGATGGAAGGAGGGAGAATGGGGCGGGGTGATGGAAGGAGGGAGAATGGGGCGGGGCGATGAAAAGCTGGAGAATGGGGGGGGGTGATGGAAAGCGGGAGAATGGAACGGGGTGATGGAAAGAGGATGAAGGGGACAGGGTGATGGAAAGCAGGAGAATGGGGTGGGATGATGGATAGCGGGAGAATGGGGAGGGGTGATGGAAAGAGGGAGAATGGGGCGGGGTGATGGAAAGCGGGAGAATGGGGCGGGGTGATGGAAGGAGGGAGAATGGGGAAGGGTGATGGAAGGCGGGAGAATGGGGCGGGGTGATGGAAGGAGGGAGAATGGGGCGGGGTCATGGAAGGAGGGAGAATGGGGCGTGGTGATGGAAAGCGGGAGAATGGGCAGGGTGATGGAAAGCGGGAGAACGGGGCGGGTAGATAGAAGGAGGTAGAATGGGGCGGGTTGATGGAAAGTGGGAGAATGGGGCAGGGTGATGGAAAGCGGGAGAATGGGGTGGGGTGATAAAAAGCGGTTGAATGGGGCGGGGTTATGGAAGGAGGGAGATTTGGGCGGGGTGATGGAAGGAGGGAGAATGGGGCGGGGCGATGAAAAACTGGAGAATGGGGCGGGGTGATGGAAATGCGGAGATAACTGCTGCAACGGGAGCTAGACTACGGGCTAGGCACGTGTGCTCGTGTGATCTCTGCGTTCGTTCACTTAGTCATTTCCTTGTGTTTACGATTCTTGCTAGTTCACGGGGAGAATTGGCAAGAGTTTCACTAGGAAAACATGACAACAAATGATTCAATGAAGTTGGCAATGCAAGACTACATCAGAGCTAGCATTCAGGTTGGCCAACTGCCAGCGCAGCTTGGTCGACCGCGTTCCAGCACGACTTGGTCGACCGCACTCTAGCAAGGCAAGGTCGACGGCGTGCCAACGTCGCAGGTTGACGGTGTGCCAGCATTGCTCACGCAGGACAGCACTGCATCCGCTTCGCAGGTGCGCGCAGATGATTGGCGTGCAGAGTCTCGTCACCTGCACAGCGCACACACCACGTCAACCTCGAGCTGACGACTGCCTCTGATCCGTCACGACGACCTCGAGATACCACCACCGAGGTCGGTCTCACCAACTTCGCCTGGGCGACCGTCGCACTCCTCCGCAGCACTTCGTCACCCAGGTAACCTGGTCGACCGGGCAACCACGTCGACCAGCAGCTCCCGTACGTGCCCGTCGACCTCCCAAGTCGACGACCACCTCTATGTCGACCTCACCAGGACGACCACACCCCTGGGTCGACCTCCTCCAGGTCGAGGTCCCTTCTGGTCGACCAGCACTAAGTCGGCCAGCGCAGTTGTCGGCCGACCACCCACGTCGGCCACCCGAAGACGGCGTCACGAAGTTGACGCCTCGCTACTCGACGCCCAACTGCTTGGCGTCCTGAGTAAAGGTCGACGTCGGCCCCTCCTTCGTCGACCACCAGGTCCAGTCGACCACCCGCAGTTCGACCAGCAGTCCATCAGCCGACCACCGAAGTCGGCTTCCCCAAGTTGACGTCACCAAGTTGACGTCCTCCGCAGGTCGACTCCTAAGTCGACCTCCCCGAAGTTGGCGCCACCCTGAAGTCGGCGCCCGTGCAGTGGTCCCCGTGCAGGTCGACCTCCTCGTCAACCAGCTCGCCCACTGCTGCAGGTCGTCTGCTCCCCTCACACCCGACCACGATGTCGGCTCCGCCCAAGCGAGGACGGGGCCAACACACATCTCCCGTTGACACTCCCCTGCCGCGTTCACGCTTGGGCACCCAGCCCACACGGCAGTACAGCTCCGAGAATAGCCCGTCGGCGTTCACCCAACACACAGCACACAGGTCACTGCACCAGCCATGCAAGAGGGCATGGCACCTACTGCTGCACGTCGTTATCGCCGTCGCCCACGTCGGCCAAGCGCACCTGGCCGATTGCGATGGAGCACCGGTTGAAGGCCGGATAGTGCAGCGCCTTCGTCAGGAAGTCGGCTGGCTGCTCAGCGGTCGGGATGTACTGCAGCGAGAACTTCCCATGCTTCACCATGTGCTGCAGTCAGGCCTGTCGCCGCTCCATGTGCTTGAGGTTGCCCGTCAACCCCATGCCCTCGGCGAATGTGATAGCCGACTTGTTGTTCACTCGCAGGACAGTCGGCTTCCCAGTGTCCAGCTGCCGGAACTCCGCAAGAAGGAAGCGAAGGCGGCGTCCCTCCTTGCCAGCTTCAGTGGCCGCAACGTACTCCGACTCGGTCGACGACAGCGTCGCGCACTTGACGCGCTGGCTCGACCAGGAGACCGCGGCCCCACCGTAGATGAACACGTAGCCACCCGTGCTCGTCCTGTTCTGCTTGTCACCGGCATCATCGGCGTCCACGTAGCCGACCAGCTCCAGCAACTCAGGTCCACCGCCGAACTCCAGGGCGGTGTCGCGTGTGTTGGTGAGGTAGGGGAGGCAGCGGTCGACCTCGCGCCAGTGCTGGTCGCTCCTCACCGTGAGGCCGCTCCCCAGCTTGCTGCAGGCAAAGGCGATGCCCGGCCTCGTCGTTGTCGTCGCGAACTGCAACGAGCCGACCTTCTGCCGGTACTCCTCTTCTTGGCGTTCCTGTGCCTCCTCGTCGTCGAAGGTGAGCTCGGCATAGGCGTCGACCGAGACCGGTGTCTTCGGGGTGCGCCTGGTCTGCTCCTCGTCGATGAAGCGCCTACGCAGCTTGTCAGTGTAGCCCTGCTGGTGCAGCCACAGCTTCCCCGCCGACCTGACGCGCACGATCTCCAGCCCGAGGTACTTCTACACCGGCGAGATCTCGCGCAGCTCGAAGGCGGCTTCCAGCAGCTCCTTCAGCATCGCGGCGCTGCTGCTGGCGGCAAGTAGGTCGTCGACGTAGACCAGCACCCCGCAGGCCACTCCGTCCTTTCCAACCTTGTAGTAGAGAGCCTCGTCGACCTGGCTCTTCTTCCACCCAGCGCCGACCAGCACATCGTGAGCGCCAAGTACCACAACAACGGCGACTGCTTCAGCCCGTACAGGCTCTTCAGCAGCTTGCACACCCGGCCGGATCCGTCGTTGAAGTAGTCCGGCTGGGACATGTACAGCACCTGATCGAGCTTGCTCTGCAGGAAGGCGTTCTTCATGTCGAGCTGCATCAGGTTAAGGTCGAGGACGGCGACGATGCTGAGGAAGATCCTCAGCGTGACGTAGCTGCCCACTGGCGCGAACGTCTCGTCGTAGTCGGCGCCGTACACCTGTGTGAAGCCCTTCACGACCAGCCTCACCTTCTCGCCCTCGACGGTGTCGTGGACGTGGTACTTCGTCGTCAACACCCACCGGTTCTTCATGACGTTCACTCCCGGCGGGCGTTCGATCAGCTCCCACGTTCCCATGTTGAGGAGGCTGCGAATCTCCTCCTCCATGGCGGCCTTCACCGCCGGGCCCTTCCAGCTCGCCAACGCCTCCTTCACCGTCATCGTCGAGATGTCCCAACGGTGCTCGGGGTCGGCTAGCATGTCGGGGTCGAGCTCTGGAAACTCCTCATCCTCCTCGACGTCGTCGTACAGCAGGTCGTCGGCCTCATGGTCCACGTCGTACACCGTGGTGAAGGCAGCGGGGACGAAGAAGTCAGGCGGCCTCCGAAGTCGGCCTGAACGCCGTGGTCCTGGCTGGACCTCCTCGGCGTCCTCTCCATCGTCGGTGTTGTCGCTGCCCTCAGCGTCCTGCTGTTCCTCAGCCGGTGACCCAGCCGACTTCTCCCCTGTGGTCGGCTCACCTGCCGACTGCCCGGTCGCCGACTGCTCCTTGGTCGGCGTCACTGCTGCCTGCTCCTTTGTCGGCCGCTGGTCCTCGACCTGCTTCTCGACATGCTCCTCCCCTGTCGACGTCGACTGCAATCCCACGTCGACCTGCCGCTCGTCACGTCGACCACCGGCGATGCACTTGGCCGAAGGCGACGTCCCACTACTCCCCTCATCGCCGGAGGCCGACACCGAGGTCAGCCCACGCAGGTCGGCCACGAGGGGAGGGGCAGGGGTCGGAGGGGGAGGGGTAGGGGGGCGGACGTCCTCGACGTCCTCAATAGCAAGCTCACCGGCCCCGGCAAGCAGTGACAGCGTTGCCGACGAGGTGTCAGAGGGCGGGGTGGGCGACGAGCGGCCGGACACCGACCCGTGCTCCGTCTTCCACTCGGCCAGCGACATCTCCTCGTAGAACACCACGTCCGACGTGGTGACCACCCGGTCGGTGTCGACGTCGAGGAGCTCCCAGCCCTTGCTCGCCGCCGACACACCAAGGTGCAGGCCCCACCTGGCCTTCTTCCCCGTCAGCAGCTGGTACAGCGTCGTTCCCGGCGGCAGCGCCGACCTCTCAAGGCAGTTGCGGACCCAGACGGCCTGCCGGAGAGCGAGGTGCCACCAGTGGTGCTGCACGCCCATGTGCAGCAGCATTGTCCGCACCGACTCCACCACCGTCCTCATCTCCCGCTCCGCCATGCCGTTCTGCTGCGGGGTGTATGGGCAGGTCAGGTCGTGGACGATCCCCTTGCCGTTCACGAAGTCGGTGAACTGCTTCCCGAGGAACTCCCCTCCCTGGTCAGAGCGCAGCATCAACACCGACTTCTTCGTCTGCCGCTCAGCCACTGCCAGCCACTGCACGAACACCGGCAACGCATCTGACTTCTTGGTGACCGGCTTCACCCACACGTAGCGGGTCTTGTGGTCCTTCAGCAACAAGAAGTACAGGCTGCCATCCTTGGCAGCCACGCGGAACGGCCCGCACAGGTCGATGTGTACGACGGCCAGCACGTTGTCGGCGTCGGAGCCTTGGTCGGGGAAGGTGTGCCGCGCCAGCTTCCCGCCGACGCACGAGACACGCGGTGAGTCGGCGCCCGTCGCCGACTTGAGGTCCAGCCCAATGGCGACCTCGTTCTTCGCCGAGCTCCTGATGGTGTCCATGCCGACGTGCGCAAGTCTAGCATGCATCCTGTCTGGCGTCGACTTCGTTTTCGAGACGATCGCCTGCAGGGCCACAACCTCCGTCGTGGGCGACGTCGACCTCGTTGAGGAGGGACGCAGGTCGGTGCAGAGGACACGCCCGGAGTACGTCGCCCGACCGAGCACCATTCCGGCTGCAGAGACGAGCATCATTCTGTCTCCGTCCTCCTGCAGCTTCACGCCGTGCTCCTTCAGCTGGCCGGACGACAGCAGGTTGGCCCGCACACCCGGGACATACAGTACGTCGGGGATGAGTACTTGCTTCCCGGCCTCCCCTTGTAGGGCGACGGTGCCACGGCCCTGGACGTCCTGCAGCGCCCCATTGAAGCCGCGCACATGCCTGATGGCGCC